TAGCATTAATCATCTATAATAACTGCTAACTTCCTACCCTATCGCGTTGTTTTGTTTTGGTGACAACATGGCCGGTGTAAGTCACGTGATTAAAACCGAGTTGGCCAAACTCTCTCTATCTACGGCTGTGGCAGGGTTCCCGGAACGCCGCCCTCAGCGGCGTATGCGAAGCACAACCCAGAGTCAGAAGTGGAACGTGAAATTTCGATATGGTTTTGTAGCCAGATTTTGGAGAAAAACTTCAGCTACCCGCTTTTTCCTCGACTGAGACGTCCGTTGGAGCTGTAATTTGTATGGCAAGGAGATGATGCTACCCTTAATTCGTATTAAGGGAACTTACGCCCACAAACCTTGTAGTTATTAATATTTTGGTTATAATAGAAAATTTTTATTTTTTGGTGATATAGTTAGCATGCACACGTCATAATCTAGATTACGTCATCTTTTCCTGGTAAGGCAAACTTTCCCGGCGTGCTTTTTTCATGGATAAACAAACACCACTGCTTTGCACATGGATGCCTTGCCTAGCTAGGGCTACAAGAGCCGCATTGTTAGCATTGTATAATACTTAAACAAGGTAGTCTGCAACTGAATTATTCTTAGCCATTTTTTTTCTTATTTTAATTTATTTCTTTCGAAAGTGTACTTTCTATCACATATAATTGCACTGTCTACTTAGGCCTAGTCTTATTATGCCTCATCGTCCCCCGCTACACAGTACATCAGTAGGCTAGCCCCCCCCCCCACGCTACAGATGTTTGCTAGGCAACAGAACGTTATTGCACCTTCCTTCCCAGGTGTTCATGTAACATTTGCATATTGTTAGCTAACCAGTTTTGTGTATTCTTTTGTGAAAATGAGTACCGCGCCGTACTCATTTTCACAAAGCATTTGCATCCCCTCTTGAAAAGAGGGAGCTTCGAAATAATTGTCTCCATATCTTCGCTAATTAATCACCGCAATTTAGCTTACACTTATGCATGAAGGGAGCACTTAAAATGTACAATAATCATTTCACTACTGAAAACCCCGAACTTTATTCATGAATTAAAAAAACATAAATAATTTCATCTTGCTGTACTCCAACATCACTGGCGCATGGTAACAACCAACTGACTTCAGACCATTTCCGGTCAAACATTACTCTCCATAACGCAGTACCCCCTAGTTCCGTCACCTCTGGATAAATCGGCGTTGTGATAGCTTCCGCGACTACCCCAATTTGTGAATTTGGCGAAGTGGCGACTACCCTAATATTGACCAATCAAATCACCGGATTGTTTGGCAAACT